GATTCCAATTATTTGATTAAAACGAATTAAAATCCCATTCTTATTCCTGTTCGAATTTCGATTTCAAAGAATTTCAATTCTGATTTCGATTGTGAACGGAATGAACCCTTAATCTTCTTTCTTTATTCATTCACTCCTTAACAATTACTCACGATGAGACTGTTTCTGGACTGAAGGGAAGCACTGGGTTAGGCTCTTTTTGAGCTTCGTTACAACCTTTTGGTTTTGGCCCAATTTCTGTCCTCACTTATAATTTTATATGTTTTTCTTTTATTCTGTCTTGAAGGTGGGCTAAAGCAAAAAAAAAAAAAAAAAAAAAATTGAAAGATAAAATGAAAAATATCTTGAGCAAGACAACCTTAACATCTAATCAATATATACTCTCACCAAACTTGCTCAAGCCTCTCTAGGCCCAAGCCCAATCTGTCTGAGTTGCATCCCTAACTCAGTGCAGCTCGTTGCCTCAAAGCAGTTACCCAAAAGCATGTACAATGCACTATTTGTGAAAAGATGGAGAACAGAATATCATTGTTGGATCAAGTGGCCTATGCCCCCTCAACTATCTAGCCTTAGGAGAATATCATTGTAGATTGTGATACACAATATCACTCATTTACTTATTATTAATTTATTATATTCTTATACTATTTTCTTATAAATAAAATGCTTTTACACTCATTCTCGCATATAGAAAGTTTTTGGGCCAAGTCAATCTAATATTGGGACTTTAGGACTTAGAAGTAGTGGAGATAGGGCTAAGAGTGGTTGAAAAAAAAAAAAAACAAGGATATTAACCCCATTCTATGAGGCACCATTCTCTAGTTGTTGAAGGATTTAAGGTCTACTATTCTAAATTGACAGGTGTTTCAATCCTATCCTATCTATCTGTATACTAATTAATTAAAATTATTTTGTTCTCATTTCTTTACAAACTTGTTACATTTAGGCTGCCTTTGGAAACGATGCAAATAAGTATGAATGCAAATATGTAGTGTAAAAAGGTCCATATAAATTATAAAGTTGGGTTAGTTTTGCACTGACAAGTTTACCTTCTTACCAAACAGACTTTTAACTTATTGGATGCAAACAGAATTCCAATAAAGCATATGCCTTTTTTTATCAAACACCTACTTAAATGCAAATTTACTTATTTTTTATTGGTGTACTTTTACATCTTATTATCAATGTAAATATATATTGGAAAATGTATTTTCTGTCATTTGTCAATGCATAAATGTAATATTGCCAAATATAGGAAAAAGTGAACCAAAGTGCAAATTTACCCTTCATTTGCATCGTTTCCAAACACAGCCTTAGGTCTTTCTTAAGGAAGAAAGCAGAAAAAAATAGTAAACATACAGCATTAATTATTCTATTCCAAAGGATCTAGAATCTTCTTAGTTTGTCTTCATGTTTAACCTGGAAACTGATGAGTTTCATTTGCCATGTTAGTAATGTAACCTAATGCAAATACAAATATAATTGTAAATCTAATAAAATGGGAAGATACGACCTCTATTTAAATTAAATTAGACTATAGAGTAAGGGGAGGTTAAATGCATCATGTAATATACTCCCAATCTGCTACCCAAAGCTGTTCCTACATCCCTTTTCATGGCACATTACAGTTGCACATTGAGAATATCTCTCTTATCATTCATGGGAAGATGTTACTAATACACGATAACATGATGGGAACAGCTTGTAAGTAACAGATCCGAACCCCATGTAATAAGCACAATTCATCATGTTCCTAGCTAATATAAAACTGAAATTCCCTATACTAGAGTATACAACTAAGTATTAATCATACATGGTGTTTGGATTTAAGTTTGATGACCTAGGCAAGTATGTGTTTTTTATAGCATTGATTTTTTTTTCATAAATAAATATTATAATAATTAATAACTATGAAAATAGTTAATAATGATTTATTATTCAGTATTAATTTGGGAGTTTTTTAACTAAATTTGAAATATTTTATAGTTATGGTTTACTAAAAACATATATGTGTATATCACTGCTACTCTTCAAAATATTATTAGGATGATGTTCAACCAAGAAGCACACAGAAATTTAAATCTTCTTGCTTTAATGATATATAAATTAGATGGAAAGATTGTTAGTGTATTCAACATTGACAGAAAACATCACCCCAAAATTTACTTCAGATGGAGGGTTGTCCACCTTAAAATTTTATTAGCCACTATCAAAAATTTTACTCAGTCAGAAACTCTCAAGCTGTGTTTGGAAAAGATGCAAATAAGTGTGAATGCAAATATGTAGAGTGTAAAATGGTTCATATAAATTGCAAAGTTGAGTTAGTTTTGCACTGACAAATTTACCTTCTTACCAAACAGACTTTTAGCTATAATGGGTGCAAAACGAATTTCAATAAAGCATATGTTTTGTTTTTTTATTTTTATCAAAAGCCCACTTGAATGCAATTTTACTTTTTTTTATTGATGTACTTTTATATCTTATTATCAATGTAAATATGCTTTGGTCTGTCATTTGTCAATGCATAAATGTAATGTTGCTAAACACTGGTAAAAGTGAACCAGAGTACAAATTTACCGTGAACCGAGATTTACACTACAGTTGCATCGTTTCCAAACACAGCCTCAATAAATGTGGTGCAAAGTGCAAACTATTTGCAGCTTCAATTCAATTAGTTTCAACAATTTGATCCTTTGCAAAATGAAAAGGAAAAGAAGAAACCTTTGAATCTGGCCCCGATACCAACAATTCTAACCCATTGAGACATTCACACAAAACTCATGAAAAAACAGAATGCAATCATAATATATTCGTGAAGGAAAAGGGAGTTTGATACGTAGGAAGTAGTGAGAGTTAAAAGGGTGGGTTCTTTTTGAGGCCCATCCTCAAGTCATTTGATGGGTTTAGGGCTACAGAATGGGCCGAGTTTGGTTCAAAGCAGGCAGTTACGCTTAGTTTTATCGTCATCATCATCTCTATTAAATCTCCGTTTTTCACCTCTAATCAACCTTACAAAGCAATTGTGCAAACTTGGGCAAATGACTTTATATACACAAACTCACAAAGTGCTTTTCTCACTGTGCTCCCATAATGCGGACAGTCCTAGCCAATTTGGATGGTGGGCATTCCTGGTTCATGTAGGTTTGGATCCGGCCGAGGGTGCCGATCCCAGTGAGTACTGAGTATGCACAGGATGATGCATGAGGCATTGAGATTTGAGACTAGAGCTGGAACACATAAGAGTTCAAATTCATGGATCCACTTTGTGCAATAATGCATAAGTAAATGGAGATAGTGCTGTTGGGAGTAATATGCTTGGGTCCCACGACCCCGCGGATAGCTGGGGCCAATATTAGGTAATGGCCTTAGTGCTGGGTCCCTGCTGTGCACCGAGCATATGCACATGGTCTGACATAATCCAATTGAAGATAACAGGATCGTCTTACACTTGGGCCTTAGGGGTCTGGAATTGGAATTGGAATTGGTTATTCTGATTCTAACTGTTTGGCAGGTAGAACTGGAATTCCATTTCCATTCCTGTTGGAATGGTATTCTCTCATTTGAGGGAATGGCCATTCTCTGCCCTTTTCTTGGGAATGAAGTCCTATTCCTGCTGATTCCAATTTTTATTCTCATTCCTGTCTGAATCAAATAGAGTATAAAAATGGATTATTCTAATTCTGATTTTGATTCCAACTACGAATCAAACAGATCCTTTCACCTTACACTACAGGTGTGTGTAGCCATACTGGGTATCTGGGTGGCTACCACTATACCACTACAATGGGTTAGTGAGCCAGTTGCTCCTTCCTTGGATGTTTAGCCCATCGGGCCAAAAGATCGGCTGGATGAGCATGGAACAATGCATATACTTTGAACTTTAGGAGTTTGGCTTCAAGCAGCCTTTAGTCCTTTACTGTCTTGCATTGAGAATATCTCCGTACTTATGTGCTTTATTTCATAAGGGAGATATTCTCAATATAAGATTGCAAAAGGCTGTTAGAATGGTATGGACACAGGTTTGCCCTAATGGAAGTCTATCTGGAATGTTAGATATGTAGTTATGTACATACAAACGATAAAGGATTCATTCTAATGGCGTTTGGATTTTCTGCCCACTATTCTCTAGATACACTTACTCGCCTTGAATTGCAGTCACATATCGCCACTGTAAGATGTTCCCACTATACAGCAGCTACAAGGGCTGTGAGGTGGGTGTGATGACGAATTTTGTGAGGAATAAATCCAACTCTGATCTCTCAGGCTGACGTGGGGGCTTATTATTGATTGAATAGCCTCTTACACAGCCATCAAGTGCACAGTTAATCCGAATGGATGGATTTATAATTCATTCATCCATTGGTTCAAATATTCATTCGTTCTCTCTCTCTCTCACAGCGTAGTGGTGCTGTGATGTCAGCAAAGAGAGTATGTGCGCATGGTTGACATCACCTGTGTTTTGTATATTGATACAATGCTTCATATGCCACGGAGCCCATCAACAATGGAAAAAGACAAAAAAACACAACAAGATAATGTATTACACTTGAAAGTTGAAACCATCAAAACAATAACCAGATGGAGGACAGCTAATTCTGCACTCTTATTTTTATTCATCTCTCTTTCCTTCGTCACTAACATTAACTATTTGTCGTCTATATCAGCCATTCAACCAGAATCCGTATATATTTCGAGATATTTTGCCTTGGATTTTTTTTTTTTTTTGTTTGGGTAGAAGATTTTGTACCAAAGTTTAAATACTGAATGAACCACCAAATATAATTGCTCCCATAAATCACTGAACCGAATGAGGGGATGTCTCTTGTGCCCCCATGCCATGCCCATGCATGTTACTTGTTTGGAGGATGTAAGCCCATATATATATATATGAATCCATCTAATGGTCTGAGCATAGTAGGCCCATCTAATTCATTTTTCCCATGAATTATTAATTAATTATGAGTGGTGACTTAATTCGACATACCACAATGGCGTCCCGTATTTAATTTAGGTGCCAGTACAAAGAAAATGTTACAGAGAAGAAATGGCAACCCAAAAGCACTGCCTTGGTGACTACTGACTAGAGGTTAGGTTTATGAATTTTATAATTAAATAACTGTACAATGCTATTTTAATGGCTTATATATTTCCAATATTTAAGGCATCTTTGTGGTTGCATTCTTTTTCCAGAACACTAGTTGGGTTTAATATAACCAGTAGTACTTTGATGGCTTGGAACAACGGAATCAATCTTCTTCTCTTGCTTCTGCTGCTTGCCCTCTGCACTCTCCCTTCTTTACAGTTGCAGAGTCAAGAGAGGAAAGGTGATTTTGAGAAATGGTTATCATGGAATGTGAGGGACCATCAGAAGAAGACCACTCTTGGAGCAGAGGCCACCAGTAGTACTGGTCGACGAGGAGCACGGCCCGCCGCTGACCTCAAGGGTTTGGATACGAAGCTGAAGAAGGCCGAGTTGAATAAAGTGAGAGTGAGAGTTAGTCAAGATGGGACTGGTGATTACTCTAGCATCCAGGAAGCTCTTGATGACATCCCATTAAAGAACACCAGAAGAGTCATCTTGGAAATAAACCCAGGTGTTTATAGGTACGTGTAGATAGAATTGTTTTTGGACTGTGCTCTTCAATAATCATCATCTTGGGATTATTGGTTTTTGGCAAGTTTAGATAATACTTCAAAGTTCAAACTATGGTTCTCTAGTTAATTATATAGTTAATGAATTTTCAATTTCATTGGTGGGTTGAGATTTGAGAAAGTAAATAAAAAATTCATCATCATCATCCATTGATGACAATGGGCATATTTAAAGATGACTTACTTAAACCCATCAAAAGAAACAGTCACTACATTACATATATATACAAAAATTGCTTTTGGCTGTAAACTATTTAATTAGAGTTTAGATGGGTATGTATGAATTGTACTGTTCTTTAGTTGGAGCTTTCTTTTAATTAGAATCTTTAAATAATTAATAGGGTGAGGAGGGCCGAGGAGGGACATAGTAAATAACTTGTTCATGTTGTCTAGGGAGAAGATTTTGATCCCCAGGTCACAACCTTTTATTACATTTCTGGGGGATTCAGCCAATCCACCGACCATAACCGGGAATGACACGGCTTCAGGAACTGGAAGAGATGGCAAACCCTTGAAGACCTTTCAGAGTGCGACAGTGGGCGTCAATGCCGATTATTTTGTAGCTATCAATATAATATTTGAGGTACATTAATTAGTTTATGAGAAAAATGAGTCACTCTCATCTTTGATAATTGAACTCCCATGTATCCTACCAGACCTTTCTTCAACTCTAATTTCTTTAATTAGCACGTTTATTGGCATGATTTGGTTCAATCAGATCCAATCTAATATGAGTCCAATACAGATGGACCACGTCCAATCCACTCTGATCGATGAATATTCTGCACCATCCATTTGACACTTGTATTCTTATCTTTTATCAATGAACCGGATATTGGTTCAATCCGACCCAATCCAATATAATATAAATCCATTATGGATGGATCAGGTCCAATCCAATAAATACTTTGGACCATTAAATATGGGTAACTGGTTCAATTCATTATGTCTTTCTTATTAGTCCCTCCAAGGATGGATCCAATCCAAAACCAGTCGATTGACACCCCTATTATTTATAACTTTGTTTCCACTAATGTTTCCAAAATTTTGGCTTCCTACTTTTGTGCTTGCATTGTAGAATACGGCTCCACATGATATTGGATCAACCGGAGAACAAGCCGTAGCCCTTCGCATCTCCGGCAATAAAGCTGCATTCCATAATTGCAGTTTCTATGGAAGTCAGGACACTCTGTATGATCACAAAGGCCTTCACTACTTCAACAACTGCTTCATACAAGGCTCTGTAGACTTCATCTTCGGATATGGGAGATCCTTATACGAGGTCTGTATTTTTAGTCAATATTTTTCTGATGATACTGGAGATAGCAGTCTCTGTAGAGTGTAGAGTTTCGAATTTATGATTTAATTAGTTTTTGGACTTGGTTCTCACACTTTGAACATTGTGTGTATGTGCAGAATTGCTATTTGAACTCAATATCAAAGAAGGTGGCATCTCTGACCGCCCAAAAGAGAACAAACATCTCCTTGTCTAGTGGCTTTTCATTCAAAGATAGCGTTGTCACAGGGAGTGGCCTAGTGTATCTGGGAAGAGCATGGGGCGATCGTTCCAGGGTTATCTTCTCTTATACATACATGGACAAAGTTGTTTTGCCTCAAGGATGGAGCGACTGGGGCGATCAGAAGCGAGAGTCGTAAGTCCACACATCATTACTTGCTTGTTTTTTCTACGCATTCTTTATCAAAATATTAAAGGTATCCGCCGATTGATGGCCCATTATTTGCTCAGTTGGTCATATCTGCGTAGTGAATGGCTGCAATGCATCTCCACCACCACTAATCCTATTAAATGTGTCAGTGTATGGGGGCCAAAGATGCATTGCAGGTACCAAAAAGAAAACATAGAAAGATCCAAAAGGGTTTCTGTGTTGAGAGGAGAATATTTTTTCTTTGTTGGGGTTTAGCCGCATCTGTATTTTATAACTGGTGGCAAGGTTTCAACATGGAACCATTTTAGCCACCCGTTTCCAGGTCAAAAGGTCCAAATCCAACTGTCCAGTTCAATTGGACGGTCTGTTTTGATTTAAAAAATAATTAAAATAAAAAGACCAAAAAAATCGTTATTTGGGCCAAAATGTTGATGGTTCAATTGTCTGGGTCAGTGGATCGCTAACCAAGTCAATAGTTTTGGCCCAGGAATGGTTTTAGAGTGAAAACCGTGAAATGAAATGTTGTCTAGACAGTTTCTGAGTCAACTTGTTCAACTGTTTGGTCCGATCCAGTTTTCACAACCATGCCGGTGGTTGTGTTAGGGGCTGATTAACTTTTTAACTCTCAGTTTTCTCCATCCCCGACGTCGGGTACCCGACTTCCTCGACCCTGATGAAGATTGGCTTAATGGGAAAGGAGGCGGGATTGATAGTGCTACTCAATTGGGGACGGGGATGGGGAGTGAATTTCCCGCCCCAACCCTATATTAAATAGTTATTTATGATATTAATTATACTATATATCATAATAGATCAAAAACTGAATCAACCCTAAAATCAATAGCGACCCAATTGATTTGGGTCCGATTGATCCAACCCGACCCATAGCCCTATCAAGTCCTAGTGGATTTATGCATGACATCACCGTGTATTCGTCGAGATGAACCGAGTAAATAGATGGTGTCCCAACTCTCGAGGATAATGTCTTTTTTATTTTTGATAATAAAAGTAACGGGGCTAATACGTCCCCACAAATCACTAAAACAAATAAATGTAAACGGCCAAAGGCAACTTACAAAGGTTCAGACATACACATTGCTATTATGAATTAATTGTTGAACTTGAACATGCTTTACATTCACACCTGCTGGATGCTCTCATGTGTCAAACTAAAAATTTCTCTACAGAAGTGTGTATTACGGAGAGTATAAGTGCAGCGGACCGGGTGCCAACTTGACTGGAAGAGTGCGTTGGGCCAGAACACTAACAGATAAGGAGGCAAAGCCTTTTATAGGGGCGTATTATGTGAATGGAAAGACTTGGCTCCTTAGCCCCCAAGAATTTTTGGGCTTTAATTAATTTCTGCTTTCAATCTATAAAATTGCCAGAAAAAGACAAACTTCTTTCGCTTAATCTTCATTTGATTCATGTATGGAATGTAACTCTTGTCCTAATTTAATAAATTGCAAAGAATTTCCTGCATTGATCCGGTTTGATTATTACAAGTTCTGATTCTGCGCTTTTGTTTCAGATATTTATGTGATCTTTAATTAATACAATTTCTTGACGATTCTTTCTAACTTACGCATCCAAGTATTTTGTACTCTATAGCATGGTTTTTAAAATCGACCCAGTGACTGAATCGGTTAGGGGTTCGATTACTGTCGAACAGTCCGAACCCAAATGGTCAACTCATTTTGACAAAAGAAATAAAAAAAAATAAAAAACGGTCAAAATCATTCGAACGATTAACCGGCTGATTTAACAGTTTACTAACCAAAATCAACGATTTTATGAAAAAAGTGGTTTTAAGGAAAAACGGACCGATTTCCGATTTTTCCGGTCCGATCCGGTTTTAAAAACCATGCTCCATAAGTATTAAAATAACAAATAATGATACTTCCTGCGTATAGATTAGGAGCATCTAGTTAAGACATAAGGATTTCCAAGTTTGAAGCATGATGATCTTTTGCATTTTGTATGAGACAGTAGACTAGCTATGGTGAGAAAAACATTTTCAACTCCGCAATAAAAACTGTAAATTTTGGAAAAATCTATGGTATGGTGCAAGAAAGGTATGATATCGAAAAAGCTTTGACCAATGGTATTCCGACCCAAACCCATAACCCCCTGCAATTCTGGTGGAAGTGGGATCTGATCCCAAGCCTCTGTTGCAAACAACCCGAAAACCTACCGACTGAGGGACCATCAATTGGTTCATATCCATGGGACCAATCAAGTTGAACTCAACTCTTCAACTTTACAAATTTGTTTTTTCCGTTTTTAAATTTCTACTATCATGGGCTCTTTCCCTTTTAATTAGAATTCCAATTGTAGAATTGACTTCTTATATGTTGAAATTTTAGAGGAAAATTTACTTTTTTTTTTTTTAATGAGACAACTTCAAACTATTGATAGTTAAAATATTACAACAAATTTTGGTTATAATGGCGTTTTTTATTGGGGCATTTTATTAAATGCCACTATAAATCATCTATAGTGGTGCATCTTGAAAAATGCCACCATTTTCTTGTTTTAACCGAAAATTTTTAAATTGCCGCTACATTATATCTCATACGCGTATTTGCAATAAATGATAGTAAAAAAAAAAAAAAGCATTTAAACGCCACCATACATATGATTTATTTGCTGCCATTTAATATGGATTTAGGGAAAACAAACCAAATGGGCGCATAGATTTCCCGCTCATGTTCTCTGTGTCTGATTTCCTTCCTCCCCCAACTGGCTCTCTTCACATTCATCTCCCTGCCATCTCCGTGCATTTCCTCTTTGCATCGCCTTCCCGCTCATGCAAGACTCTAACATCAGAAGTGCTCGTGAAAGAATCCGAAAGCTGCTGACCCTAGAAGAATTGGTTGTGGAAGAACTCTGCGCCAAAAGCTGCCGACCCTTGAACCCAGTGTGTTCACATTCCTGTTTTCATCACTCTATACCTCTGTCTACGTCTATTTTCTGAGGCCATTTGTTCGATTTTGCCTTAGAAATCTTATTTGGTTCATCTGAACCATTATTTCCCTCATCAGGCTTCTTAGTTTCTCCAAGCTTTAATAGGTATTTTTAATCTTCATTATTTTTATTCGTTCTAACTTCACCTTGTCATTGCAGTTGAGCCATTTCTTCTCTGAATGAAGAGTGAAACCACGGGTCATTTCAAACTTCAATTATAGCTGGTTAGTTTTGATTCCTACCTTCCCTGTTATTTTTCCTATAATAGAAGTTGTATGCATGCGGTTATTTTTCTTAGTATTGTGAAGGGAAAATAAGCACACCTTCAATATTTCAATTTTGAAACATTCCCTATATGCATGTGGCCATTTTTCTTAGTATCGATCCATGCAATATTTCATTTTTGATACCATATATTGTTTCTTGAAGAACCACACCTTCAATTCAGACAAATAGAATCGTTGGGTTTAGACGTAACAGCTTTTTTTGTTTTTTGTTTTTTTTTTGGTTTTTGTATGGGCTATACCTCCTTAACCTGGTTTTTTAATTAAACTATCTTGTTTAGATGTAGGAGATATGGGTTCTTGTTAATATAGAAGTGACAAGAACAGAGAAAACCAGACATCCATCACAGAAATAGACATGGCATTTGTTTCCTGAGCAAACCCATGTATTAACCTTAAGTTTATCAAGTTCATGAACAAGATTTTCTATTCTTATAGAAACGACTGATTTGCACTTTCTTGGGTTATGATTTTTTCTTATCAACAGTTTCTAATTTACCTTCCTTTTTGTAATTGGGTAGTCCGTAGTCAGACTTGGCTAGTGAGAGATTTAGCCAATTTATTAGTTTTAGGGAGCCATGTAAGCTTTAACTTTGTGCTCTTAACAGAACCTTCAAGTTTAGTCCTCTCAAACATCAAATTTTCTGGGTAGTTTTATTTCTGTTAAACCTCAGCAGTTAGCCTTCTCCCTGTTGTTATCATGTTGTTTCTTTTGGATTTATCCATGTCATTGCAAGTTCAGTTATGATGCTTCTTAAGCTCATGGATCACAGAAGAACAAAAATGAAAAGGCTATAAATTATTAAGAATTTCAAATATCCTACTTTTCCTAGACAAGGCTAAGTTGAGTTAAATTGAATTAGTATATATGATGGTCTACTTGTTTCATGTGTAATCTAATTTACAGATTTAAGTTGAAGCCAAGAAGGTGCTTGAGGAAAGTGAAACTTTTAGTGCCACACTTCTTGATGTAGAGATAACAGTTCTAAGAAGATAAAAGAAAATATAAGTGTTTGACATGTTTATTCCCTAGAGCATTAGAAAGCATTCATTGGTTTGTCATGTTGGTTTGAAAATTGTTTAGTGGATCCAAATTGGATAAAATTGGTTTATAGGTATCTTGTAAGCTTAAGTCAATTCTTTATAATCAATACTCCAAATTTAAATGCTTTAGGAACGCTTTCATACATGAATCATTTGGAGCATCCACTCTGGCGGCTCTGCTCTTTCTGACCTGTGCATGAAAAGTTCAAACTTCAATAGAGGGAGCATCCACTCTAGCGGGACTGCCCAGAATTCTTCCACACAAAACTTACCTTTAGCAGCTAAGGCATGTGCTGCACTAACAGAACCACGACTTACACTAATCACCTCAACTATCACTCCTAAAATGGCATACAGATCATGCAACAAAGGCCAAACAACAGGATCATAATAAAAAAACCTATGAGAGATAGTTTTTACAACATTAGTTGAGTTACAAAAAATGGTTACTGATTGTAAACCAAGTCTTCTAATTGAAAGAACACATTCAAGCACAGCTGTAACTTCTACATATATAGCTGAAACGACTTTACAGGGACCACACTTTGCAAAAACGAAATCACCCTTGTCATTTGCTAACCAAAAACCATAACAGCTGTCTTTAACATGACACTCTTGTATTTGGCTTGCTAGATATTTATATACCAGAGATTTTGAGTATGTAGTGTGATAAATATGATAATATTTTTTAGTATAAACCCTCTAGGGGTCTGAAGGTATATGCTGAAGACGAGCTAAGAGTATTGATGGAGGATGATTTGGCGGATCGTGCCGCATCAAGTATTATTGCTATAATGATTAGAAATAATTACCCTAATTTTCTAGTGCTAAGGGTATCATATTTTGGCTTTGTTCTTCTCAACAAATTCAGTTTTTTTTTTGTTCTTATAAAAGTATAACAGAGGAGAGGTTTTTATACATTTGGTGGAATGTTTTTGACATTTGAAGAATCTATATATGAAACCATAAAAGTGACAAAATTAGTACTTTTTTTTATTAATGATAAGCATTTTAGTAATGAAGAATAAAGGGATAGAAGCTTTTATGTGACTATGTAACTTGACAAAGCTTTTACAGTTAACAAAGGGTTTGATGATTTAGAAAGTTAGGAATAGATAAATGGGTAGGTTATTGATGGGTACATCTTAGGTAACTCGTGTGCATATGGAGTTGGAGAAATGATTAGAGAGGGGTGAAATAGGAAGCATTTTGACTAGCTTCTTAGGGCCTGTTGGTAATGCAAACTCTTTGGTAGCAAAACTACTAGATTTACTATGAAAGCTAAAAGTTAGCTGTACGTGAAATTGGCTAAATCTACAAGGGGGACTATCAAGTTGTATGTTTTATAAAGAATCATAGGTTCAAGTGTCATAAATTTATTAGCAAAGTTTGACGTTAGAAAAGGATAATATTTTAGTCAATGGGGGTTAAGCTTATTTGGACCACTCTTATGCTGAGACAAAGGATAATAGGGAGATTCATAAATAGGAGCCCACAAAGAGAAATAAATGCACACAATCCATCTTCCAAATACAGTTCAGATAGGTGAAATGCCCACAAAGAGCAATTTCTGTAACTTGTTTTTTGCTTGAACAAAAACATACAAGGACACAGGTGCTTTCAAGAACAGATATTCTATTTGGGGGCCTTTCCCTTCTTGAATTAAAGCTTCACTCATTTGTCTAGCACAAGTCAAGAATTTACATCTTTCCCTTAATACATCACAAGAAATATGAGCTTCAATTTCATTATATGGTGATGGGTCATTAGAAATCAAACCAAAGAGCAACCAAAACCCAAGTTTGTTTATTGTTCTTCTATGGAAAATTATTCCAGCTGCCATCAAGCCCTCATGTTTCCTAATTGCAGCATTGTAACAATAATTTCTTGGCAATCAACTTCAGAGGGTAGCTGAAAGCCCTTTTAGCAATGTCTGCCCCAACCTTTTGCTCATTATCATCAGGAGTGTCCTTTACAAAATCAACCTTTGCTGCAAGCCTTAACAGGGTGCACCCACCACCAACTACAATGCCTTCCTCAACAGCTGCCTTTGTTGCATTAAGAGCATCTTCTACTATTAAATCTTTTTCCTTTAATTCAATTTCTATTTGTGCCTCAACCTGAATGACAACAACACCACCTGAGAGTTTCAATTCTCTCGTTAAACTTTTCTTTCTCATAGTCTTGCTC